AGACCCGTGACCACTTACGCGTTCAAGGTCTTCGCCGAAAATGGCGTGACTGGTTTGGCAGCGAATTACCTCAGCAAATTCGTAGATATAACAGTCACCACCGACGCTCGAGGTAAGGAAATGTTGGCCACATTTTTGCTGAATTTTTTTATTTACAGTATTTTATTTCGTGTATGGATAATTTACGTCCTGATTTGCATGTTGATGATGCATTAATTCTGCGTGCAGCCATATTGGAAATTGTATAACGCCGCACATTCAATAAATGTAGACCAGGTTAGATGATCAGATAATTTTGACGGATTATGTGGATAATTGTATTTCCTATGTATATCGATGTTAATTTATTCAATCTATCTGATGTTGAAATTAGAAAGGAAAAACTGGCCATAAGTCCATGACCGTTTGCGGTTTTCATTTCTTTTTTACACGAGTAATTTCAAAGTGGAACCAAGTCTCTCAAAAAATAAAAAATAAAATGAGAGCTGTACAATATAGTGAATGAGTTCGAATTTATGATTAGTCGAAAACGTTGGTAATAAAAAACCACAAGTTTTGCATATTGCACAAGTATTTCCCGAAAAAACTGTGATATAGTTAATTTTTTCCTGCCTTCCCCGCTGAAATCAAGCTACAATGCAACCTTGATTATCTGGATTTTCTTCAAAAACGAGCCTTTTTCCTGAAATTGAAGATTGTGTTCCCACGCAGTACCGACGGCCTTTATTCATATTTAAAAGCGTAGAATTTTTGTAATACTGCAGCTCCGCAGATCGAGAAAATTTTATAAATGAATAAAAATACAGTATCTGTTCGTTAACCGGAGACGGTCGCATGGTGACTCACGCTATATGCGTTTAGTTGTGTGCTGTGTACAGTATCTGGTTTTTGGGGTCCCCGATTTTTGGGACGTGATTAATCAGCTCGCGTGTCGTGTCTGATTCTAATTGCCTCTTTTTAATACCCTAGTGTCAATGTCCAAAAAAAAGAGAGTACGTCACGGCAGTTCCCACTGTTTACAGGCGCACCGTCTGCACTTCTACCGCCTCTAGTGACACTGAACCCTGGGCGGCGGTCCTGGTCACTGAATGTATCTTTACATGCTCCTGCGATTCTTTGCCCGAGGCCAGGAAAAACAGGCCGTGACTACGCTGACCAAGAAGCAGATCGCAACGTTTCGTGACCTTCGCCCTAGAACCGACTACGGATTTCAGGTGCGTTTATTTAATCCTTCCTCTTGTGTTGTTTTTTTTTAGCATTTCTTTTCTTGTTTCTCAATTTTCTGCTGCCGTTTGATTTACGAGCAATTTTTGTGTTATTGGTAAAGCGATGTTGGATTTATTTTATGTTTTTTTACTCACAGGTCCGCGCCAAGGTTTGCGTACCGACCCCCCTTAAAAGCTGCGGGTACAAGTCCTGTTGACCTGTTTACTAACCACTCACCAAGTTATTAAATAAATACGCCTTTAACTTAGACCTATAAAAAGGCAGAGCGTTTATTCTTTAAGGTCTCTTGGATTCGCATGCAAATTGCTAGTCATTGGCTGGTTCAAAAATATACTTCTGCTCAAGTGAAGAATGCGGTATCTCATGGAGCCCCTAATATATATTTTCCACTGATGCATTTAAATCATGATCAGCATTGCCTGGAGAAAACTTAGTGACTCGAAGTTTAAATCTGAAACAAAAGAAGATAGTTTTCATCTGATTGTTTTTTTCTTTCGAAAACTCGGTGGATAATTTGTTCGCAAGGTTAATTCAAATTGCATCGTGATGAAAGTGGACCCTCATGCACAGTTTGTTGTACGTCACGTAATGTTTGAAACGATTTCATCATTTTGTGCATTATTTAGTTCACCTTTCACCATATATTTTAGTTCCAGCTTGGGGCTCTTCTTCACAATTTATTTTGATGGAAGGCGCGATTAAGAAAATTTTCTATGAAGATAGTAACAGAGAATATGTAAAACAAGTGGATTTTCTTGTTTTCAGTATCGAAATGCCTCAACGAATTCGCTGATTTTTCGAGTTTTAATTGATTTTTAGCACGCTCAAGGGAAAAATATTTTGCTATGAAGAGTCATCTTATCTGGTTTTAACAGTGTGTTTCAGTTTATTTTCGCCAGATTTCCCCCCTTTAATTTGAATGATTGAAAAGATACGACTCGTCTCAGAGCAGATGGCGTCCAAATTCCTGTCCGCGATTCCTAGTCTCGATGAAAGGCGAAAATAGTTTTTTTGTGTTTGTATGATCCTCATCTCGGATCAGTTTTGTTGATTGGACATGTTTTCATCATTTTACTAGCCTATGTGGAAGAGGAGCCGACGTCGAAAGTACACGTGGTAACTGTGATGACGATCGTCGGCGTGTTGTTTGTCGTCCTCGCCGCCCTGACTGTTTACTGGTTCCTGATCCGGAAGAGGTTCGTCCGATCCCTTTCTTTAATGTTTCTGTCGAAAGAGAAATGAATCCCCCCTTTTTTAATTACTCGTCAAGCCGTTGGCCAGAAATACCAGTCCACCCATTAAGTTACTTCGGTTTGTTCGGTACGGGTAATTCGTACCCGCACGCGCAAATTTACCTTCATGGTCTCTAGTAAAATTTTGAGTAGAAGTACAGTTAGCCAATGTTTTTAGAATAATTTAGGAAGCTTTTTCAGTAATCTTCGTAAGTGTCTAAAAATAATAATTCTGGATTATGAGTTCGCTCCTCTGGAAATTGTTTCTGATTATCGTTTCCCAAGTCTTGTGTTTTGCTCAAAACATTTGGCACGACATCTTCAGCAACCTATTTTTAATTCCTCAAAGTTTTTTTCATCAAATCATGGCGAATGGATGAAGATGAGAAACGTGCGGAAGTCAAACCCAAAAAGTTTGTTGGGGTTGAACGCTAACTGTACTGTACTTATTTGGTCCTACCGTGTATCTCGTCCAGAAAAATTTACAAAGGAAGATTGCGCATGTTTTTCAGATACTGTGATTTTAAGAATTGAATGACAAATTTTGAAGCGCCTATTTTTCCCTCCAAAAAGCTCCCAACCCGCGGCTAATGATCTCAGATGTGCCCCGGCTGTTTTGAAGAAGTGATTATAAACGAGGAGAGGTGCTTGAAACCACCTGGAGAACTTTTAGGAAAATAACCAATTTATTTTGGCGTATCCTCACACGGAATTTCGAAACACGGAAGTTTTTTTTTTCGAGTTTATTTTAAGATCGAGGCTTCCTTTTACGCTTCCGCATTTCTGGTTATTCTCCTGTTCCATCTGCTTTTAAAAACGGCTAAACTTTCTAAGGAAGAATAATTTGAGAAATCGTTTGTATGCTTCTGTAATTGCAATTCGCGGGTCACTCACCACGAGGCTTTTGAGAAAACCTCTGGTATAATCGAGCACTGAATCTACCACGCTTGTATGTGATTAGAACGACACGCCGTGTAATGCTTGTTGGATCCCGTTTCGATTGCAGACGAGGGGCTGAGGATTGCAACAAGAAGCCGCCGAGTGACTGCGACACTCTCGAGTACCGCAACGGAGAAGGTAATTAAAATTTTATTTTTCCTCATTTTAATTGTTTAAAAAAAAGTTACTCAAGAATAAATTTTTAAAAAAGAGAGAGAGAAAAGCCTCTGCTGTGCGATTGCTAGCGGCGTTGATGGCCGCGTGCGCCGCGTTTCCTAATTCGGCTATTTTTACGATTCCCTGATGGAGGCCGAGCTCATTTGCATGTTGATGGAATAACTCGGGCGGGCTTGTCGGCGGAATAACTCCCGCGTTATATGTGTACATGTGTGTGTGTGTGTGTGTGCGCTCTGGATCCCTGGGTTCTGGGCGAAATTCACTCTACTGCTGCTGTGGAATCGCTATTTTTAACACGTTCCTTAGTGTTGCATGCATGTGTTGTTTTCCGGTACGGTATATGTTTACTTTTTAATCGACAATAATTGCGAGACTTCACTGACAACAATGCCTTGCCGAGATGGACCCACTCTCTCTCTCGCATTTACGACTGACAAAACCTCGGTTAAATGTACGTGACCGCAAAACGACTCCTACTCTTTTGCGGCGAGCGAAAAATTACATGGATTTTAATTTTCACGCACACACGTAGAAGAAGATGCAGTCAGATTTGTTGGAGAAAGGGTAGCACAGTATATCGAGGTTGTCGTGGTAGACGATGGGTTTTTTTTTTTTTTCTTCTGACGATTCGCGCGATAGTAGCGTCATGCTTCAATCCTGCGTTTACCGTGTTTCTTCGGAAATGTATACGTGGGTATTGACTTGGTAGTCCTACTGTTTCCGGACACTATATATTCTGGGTTTAATATCCATCAATAGGTAAATGTTCAGTGCTTCTTCCTAGTCTATCCTTTCGATTTTTCCTGATGGACTTTCCCGGATTTTCAATTTCTCGATTTTCCCACTAATAGTTCCGCTTTTACTTGAACTCACTTTTCGCTGCTGCATTATGAAACTCCAAAAATCACATACGAGCTATTGACCATTGAAATTGCGATTCATGAATTTTCGTTGATCTTTTCTTGGACATATTCCCGAAATAAACGCTTGTCAGTTTAATTTCGATGAAACGCGGTTTAAAATGTTGAGTAAAATCGACTTTCTTTCTTACAGGTGTTGATTTTTGCAAGCTTAATTAATTTTTTTGATTTTTCGTAAGCTCTTTTTAAAAATTATTTTGGATAGCGGTAAAACCTATACAAGCTGCTGTTCGTTGCATGAGCAATGAATGATGTATTGGTCAAAAGTCCATTCCGGTGTTTGCTTTTCTTTTCTCTGACAATTGACACAACGAACTTTTTTCTTCTCCGGCTCTTTTTTTCTCTCTGCTGCCTCTCGGTGCTGGGTATCAGGCATGATACTGCAGTACCAGAAACTGCCCTTGATTTACGGGACGCTGAGGAAACGTGAGTAGAGGGAAGTTTTTTGGCAGAATAATGGCCCGTTCACGCGACCGAGCCAATTATTCGAGCCCGACGCAATCTCTTAAGAATCTAAACCGCTACTCGCTTTGTCGTCATTTTTTTTATTCGATTTTTTTTTTATCTAATCGATGCAAGAAGGCAAGATTTTTGTTGTATTTCTTCGGATGGTTTTGACTATTTATTTTGATGTTGGAAAGAAAATTATCGTGATTTCGTTTGAAAGACGACAGGCTGGATTGTGTTAGCAGAGAGAGAGACGATGACGGACTGATTTTGCGTGGACGTGCTAATTGTAACCATGGCCCGTTTTTCTGTGTGTTTTCTAGTGCCTTGCCCGGCCGAAACCCCGCCAATTATTACGACTCACATGACTAACAGTGAGTATCCGGTTCTCATAGTTTCCGTGATGAACAGAACGAAAAAAAAAGTGCTGTGGGTTTGTTCGCTTTTTTCACTTTTGCTCGCTAACGATTGCGTGCTGAATGGAATTGCTTATCTGGTTTGCTGGGATACATTTTTTTGTGGTTTATTCCCGAATTTTTTTTTTCTTTTTACCTAACGAAATAAATTGCTAATTTTTATTATGCTAACGAAGTGCTCACGACCAGGTAATATACGTACCGAAAGGTTTCTAATCATATTCCGAAAAGTATTCATTTCCTGCCCGGGTTTTATACAGCTTGAATAGGGCTTCTCTCACAATTTAATCGCTGCATTACCGATGCCCCGGACGTCCTGCGGGCACGAAAAGGGTTATTACTCGTTTTGGTTTACTCAAAGTCTCGTAGCGCCGGGAGGAATAATAACGAACTGCACTGAATTGCTAATTAACCATTCAAATAGAAACGACACGTGCTGCCGCTTTTTTTTCGGATTCGGAAGCAGCAAGTTTTATCCTTCTTTTCTTTGTTTCCCTCAGTGACCACTCCGCTTTTCACTCACGTCGGGACTCCGAGGACTTACGTGGACCCGCACACCTACGAAGATCCGAATCAAGCTGTGAAAGACTTTGCACGGGAAATCGACGCTTCGTGCATCACGATTGAAGCAATCATTGGAGGCGGTAAGAAGAAGAAGAAGAAAATAATAATTTAAGAGGAAAAAGAGTTCAAACCTGTCGAGAAAGATTTCTGAATGATGCGAGTAAAATTTCTGTCCCCCGAAAAAAAAAAAAAATCATGGACCTTGTCAGTTTCCTGTTCCTGATTTGTTAACAGGAAATTCACATTCGTGATCTTCAGTATTAGAGCACATTTAAGATAGATTTTCACAAATTGAACGTCATTCTCCGGCCCAAAAACTCCTCCAGACGTCCTTGAATCGGTGATTTTTTAAAGAAATATCATGAGTGTCGCCGCATTTTATTTCATTTTTTGCCAACCTTTTTCATCCCTTTGTGATTGTACTTGAAAATTAATTTTACCTGAATTGTAATTGAAAAATTTACAGACAGGCAAAACATTATCATAATCGTCTGGAATTCCTGGCCAGAAAATTTTTTAACATTTGCTTTCGACGAACGAATCTCTGGTGGATCGACAGAGAAAGTTCTTCTCCCTAGCTTGAAAATCGAAACGTCGTTGATGGATTTCTTCACAATTTTCTGCTTCTGAATTCTTGCCTTTGAGGCTGCTGTTGATGGACAGAGAAAGTAGTACTTGAACGTTTTCAAGAGTACTTGTGACCTGCATTTATGAAATCGATTTGCGTCAAAATGTTGCTCTTGTTGGTCGATGATGGACGAGAAAAGTAATTATCTGGAATTTCAAATTTCAGCGTTTCAAAAAATCCTCGTGAGTGATTGAAATTCGCGACCATTGAAGAATCGAGCTTCATGCAAAGTAAAGTCTCAGCCAAACATTTTTAGCCGTTCCTTTCAAATGTGTGTAGTTGACTGGCGGGAAAGGTGATTTTCTCCGCAAGTGTGGTGCTGATACTAAATTTTCGTCTCGAAATTCGCAGGTGAATTCGGAGAAGTTTGCAAGGGGAAACTGAAGTACCCGGGGCGGCCGGAAATTTGCGTGGCTATCAAAACTTTGAAACCTGGTTCCACGGACAAAGCAAGGAAGGATTTCCTGACCGAAGCCAGCATTATGGGTCAATTCGAGCACCCGAACGTCATCTTCCTCCAGGGCGTTGTCACCAAGTCCAATCCGATCATGATCATAACGGAGTACATGGAAAATGGGTCACTGGACACTTTCCTTCGCGTGAGTTTCCCTTCGATGAATAACCGTGACGAGAAGATTTCATTCTTCAATTTTTTCACGATCAATTGTACCCTTGGAAACTTTAAAATTGTGGAAAGTGAGAAGAAATTCGTGTAGGGCGGACCGAAAGAAATGGGGGAAAATGTCTTGCTTCTGATCGCATGTCATTCATCCTCTGCTGATGGAACAGACTGTATATTGACAATAATAGTTTTTCTGAAGAGGTCCCGTTTTTTCATTTCAGAGAGCCCATGATCCTTGTCACGAGAACAAAGCTATAATTTCGTCCCATTTCCCAGGCACGAGTCGTATAGTCACATAAAAACGCCGAAAATATTATCTTTCTTCTCATCCCAGGCACCCACCATCATGCACTTGCGGTTGTATAATGATGCCAAGATTTTTCCTACCTCCTCTGACGAGCATTTTTTTTTCTTCTAATTATGTCATCATAATTCGCGAAAGAATCCACGTTTATGTGGGACTATCGTGTGAATCCCAGTGGGTTTCGGTGGATGTAAATCTTGCGTTGGTTCCTTATATACGCGTCGGCTTGATCTTGGATAGCGGGAGAGGGCCGCGGTTTCTGATCAAATTATGCGATCGTAATCATTCATTACCGTTGAATAATGCGCTTTGAACCGGTTCCGAGAAGTACTGCTGCTCATTTTCTGTAGGGGTACGCGCGAGGCAATCTTGTGTATTTCTCTGTTCGGAAAGAATCGCTTCCTCATGGCCTCTAGAGTCGACAAGAAGTAATCGGTTTTTCTTGGATTTCCTCTCTTTGCATTTCATATCACGCAATAAATGGGCTTTCGCACGATTGCCAATTCAATCGATTTTTCTGTTGAATATGTTGACTATTATTGCGGAAATCGAGGAGTACAGTACTGTATTTCCAATCCCGAAAGTCGTTTGTACCGTTCTTCTTTGCTCCGTGTCCGCTACCTGTTATTATCTTCTTTTTTTTTGCGAGTTCAAAACACGGACTTTTAAATAGCAGTCTGTCACAATGGAGCGTTTTGATGGGCTGAAATAACTGTGTGATTTTGCCTTGCGATTTGTTTTCACTCTGTCGGGCACGGAAATGGTCATTTCAACGGTAATTTCGAGAAAAACTTGGACGAGCTACCGCTTCGTCGTGATGAAATTCTTCTGATCCCGTGTAATGAGAGCGAAACTTCATGCCTTGCGTCAATCACTGATGACTCCGGGAACCGTGATTAATGCCGATCAATCTGCGGGATGTAATGAGTGCGGGCAAAGGGTTGATGCGTCTTTCCCGATATTTCTTGTTTTCTTTTCGTGTAACGATGTTTTATTATTTTTCATTTCCCCTCTCCCACAGGCCAACGACGGAAAGTTTCAAGTGGTACAACTGGTCGGAATGCTGCGGGGCATATCCTCTGGCATGCAGTACTTATCAGAGATGAACTACGTGCACCGAGACTTGGCAGCGCGGAACGTGCTCGTCAATGCGCAGCTTGTGTGCAAAATCGCCGACTTCGGATTGAGTCGGGAGATTGAGAGTGCTGCTGAAGGAGCTTATACGACCAGGGTACGTTTGTTGTTATTTGAAAGAGAAGGATCGAGAAAATGAATCCGTCAATTGCGAACCAATTGTGACCGATGAATCGGCTTCGCGGAGACCGATAAATGGATCCAAGGACATGTGTACATTTCCGCATGCGATCCAATCTTTTTAAAGAACGCTTTCAACTGGTATTTTGAGCGCAAATAGGCAAATTTACTGGGTTGAGTCCGTTCATTCCGAGGGAATTTCTCGATCAATCCCTGACTTCCAGATTGCTCCTTTAAATGGGTCCGTCTCCGTTATCATTTTGCTACTTGGGGTGATGGTGGAAAATAAAATCAGCACACAGTCGAATGACTCCAACCCTTCTGCAGCATACCCCTAACTATAATCATGGGTTGTCAATTGCAATAGTACTGTATAGTAAAAGTTGGAAGTGACACAAGTTTCGAGAAAATAATGCAAAAATCGCGATTTTTTAAGGATTCAGTTCTTCAGATGAGGATATTGCTCATCACGAACGTTTGTGGACGGGTGCTGGAGAATTTACAGCGTTTATAAAATGCGGAAAAATAAGAATCCGATTACTGTATTCATGCTTTGTTTCCTCTGTGATTGTGATTTTTACAAATCATATTCTGCATTATCGGCGTTCTTCCTTAGATTCAACAATTCTGAGTATTCTGCTTATACGATACATTATTTTTTCGTTCGAAGCCCAGAGTATCCATTAAGTAATTTTTCATCGCGTTCAACTTAAATTAGCATTCCAGGTTGGGTTTGTTATACCTTGGGTTCGCTTATTGGCAATTTAGCACGCACCATCAATCAAGCGTTTCTGAAAGCAAGGTCAGGCGTTGAAGTGGAAAGGCGTTCGCGGAAGGGTTGACCCAAATTTGATGTATGGAAAAAGTACATGTTTTTGACGTTGTTTTACATTTTTTCTGCAGGGCGGGAAGATTCCGGTTCGTTGGACAGCACCAGAAGCGATTGCTTACCGCAAATTCACGTGGGCCTCTGATGTGTGGAGCTACGGGATCGTCATGTGGGAAGTTATGAGCTTCGGCGAGCGGCCGTATTGGAACTGGTCCAATCAAGATGTGATCAAAGCCATTGAGCGCGGATACAGGTAAATCCAAGCATCCCATTTCAGCAGCAAATTGGTTTTAAAAAAAAAAGAGAATTTAGTTGAGCAGATGAGAATACAGTACGTTTCTTTTTTGACAAGAAACGGATGCTGGAAGCATGATATGATGATGATTGTTAATGCGCTGTTGTGTTTGTAGGTTACCAGCGCCGATGGACTGTCCGGAGGCAATCCACCAACTCATGTTGGACTGTTGGCAAAAGGACCGGACGAACCGACCAGCTTTCGGGTCCATCGTCATGACTCTGGACAAGCTTCTTCAGTGTCCGGAAACCTTGCGCAAGACTACCATGAATAGGTGAGGGTCATGTGCTCGAGCACGTCCTGAATCGTGATGAGGATCTTTCCGAAAAATTTACAAGTCCCATTCGAACGATCATGGAAAAAATTTCGCTTTCTGCTTACTGTACTGCAAATGGAAAATCCGCAAAATTATTTTTCCGATAACCCTGGCCTCGTTTTTTAGACTGAAGAATTTATCGTGATTTGTAAAGTCATCGCAAAAGCGAAATGGACTGGAGTATATATTTTGTTTCCTCATTAAATGTTTCTCCTTGGTTATTTTTTGAAGCTCACTCTATGTTTCGAAAATTGAACCTGATCCTGTAACTTTTAAAGATGCCTAAATTATTTGGTTACTTACATGTTGGGATTTATTACCGACAATAATAATGAGTAAAGTGGTCTTTGCCATGATAAAGACTTCGCGAGATGGGATTTGCTTGGTGAGAGTAATCTTGTATTTGATATTTTAGTTGCCTTTCACAATTTTTGAGCATGAATGTGTAACGAAAATTTTGACTTACGAAACCTTGCTTTCAAAGCTTTGGAATTTGAAATGCTCTGTACACTGGAGATAGCTTCAAATGTAACAAAGATAGAAAGAAAGCCGCAGAAATCAGAAAAACTTTTTAAATCATATTCAAGCTAACGGCTTATATGGCATTAATTATACTTATTGTGTACTACATTTTTTACTTATTGTTTCGACATATTATGATGGATAGACGTGCTAGTGTACTGTACGTGTACCGCGGTATATTCTTTTCTTATTAAAAGAAATCTTAATGAAGTCTTGGGAGCTTGAAAAAATTTGGGTTCACAAATAATGGATGCGAGAAACATTGCTGTACGCAACTCGTTAAATTAACAGCCTCCATCACACGTGATATTGCGCATGTGACTTGTATTTTTAAAAAAACCCTCTTTGTCTACCTGTGCACATGCAACGACTTTATATCGTATTTCACAAAAAGTTTGTTTTCGGTATACGTGGGTCCACTAATTAAGTTCGTTTCCTATCAAAATTTTCCTTTGTTCGCTTTCGCAAATTTTCGTATCGTTCTTCGAAACGCGCCGCTTTTCCTTCTGGGGCTTGTGCGCAGCTTCTTTCCGTTTCACAAAATCATGCTTTGAGTGCTGACAGAATGAATTTGAATGGGATTTTTGGTGGTTAGAGCTTGTTGCTTTTTTTTCATCACTGTATCGTGTTTTTTTGCGTTTCGTGTCTTTCGCAGGCGCCCTCCTCCCTTGAACCCGTACTACACGGCGCCACTCATGCTCGCGGAAGACGGCGCCTGGGTGCTGTACCCCAAGACTAAGTGATTCCCCCAATTCCTCTTCTGTTGCTGACTGATTTGCTCAAGATTGCTGTGCTCGGATAGTTTTCCTTTCGCTTTCGGAAGTAGCTTGAAAATCGTGTGATGAGGAATGAAGCTGCGAATGGGTCCCTTTTGTTATAGTCGAGCGCTACATTTCTCCTTTCCACTGATGGATCAACTTTTCGTTGATCGTGTTTGCTTTTTCGTTCGTGAGGTAATTTTCGTTTGTTTGATTATTTTTTTGTTTCCATTCTCTTCTCCGTCTTTGCTGTCTTCTTTCTTTCTTCGGCTTGCACTGGAAACATTTTCTGCTTGTTATTATTGCTTGCTGCCGCATCTTCTATGAAAAGCCAAGTTTCGTTGTTTATGTGTGTCAGAGACAATTGATGTTTGCGTAATGCTAATTGAGTACTGTATATTGAAGCCTTTGTGTAAGTTGCTTTTGCTACTGTGTGGCATGCATTATTGATAGTTGGTCGTTCTCAAAAACAATGAGATTATCCGATAATTTTAGCGATTTTTTTAATAATTGGAAACAACAACAAAATCATCTAACACTGTACTTTTCACTGCACCATCAGTCGTATTTTGGACGCTTTTAGTCAATATTCGGGTTTATTCCTGGATATGTTATTTTTTCTCGGGTTTTAGCAATTTTGAATCGCTTGCGTACAAGTTGAACTTCTGTGAAATTGTTCCTGTAGTATTTGTTTGTTTGAGTTGCCTTCCTTGGTCTGACGTGTGACTATCATTTCAGGCTTTACCCGAACCCATACGGAATTGAAGCCCCGGACTTGACCAAGTTTGCAAGCGTGGAAGAGTGGCTGTGTTCCATCAAAATGGGGCGTTATTGGCCGAATTTCCGGGCAACTGGCGTCGTGTCCTTGGAGCAGGTGGCCAAGCTGAACCAGGGCGATTTGGATGCCATTGGGGTCGCCTTGCTTGGCCACCAGAAGAAGATCCTCAACAGTGTTCAAACCATGCGAGCGCAGATGTCCATGAACGTGTCCGATGGGTTTCTTGTATGAGCAACATCCTCGTGCGGCGAAGGGTTTTTCTTTTTTTTTGTGATCTCAAAGAGGCTCGAATTTGTACTGCACGTCTACCCATGAAGTAGGGGAGGAAAAAATACCCAGGGTCTCCGCATTTTCTGTCGGAATAAGGGAAAAGCAATTGGGGAAGTTTGATGCCGCGCTCTTCGGGTATGATTTCCTCCGCTCACTTGCCTGGTGGTGACATCTCGGCGAGTTCTTCCGCAAGTCTATCAAAAAAAGTCGCGCGAGAATATCAGCAGATAGTAGGTGTATCGTGATGTTTTTTATTCGATCGCTTTTTTGTCGCGGTTAACATCAAAAAGAACATTTTTATGGTGACTTCTTAATCCGCATTTACTTTATTTTCTTTTTTCAAGTGAGCGTACACTGAACGTAGTCCGTGATTTTTACAAATTTTTTTGTGTTGCGATGAGAACTTCTTCCTTGTTATCTTGTAATACCACGAAGTTTCCGGTCAAGGAACCGGGCGGAAAATTGTGATCAAGGAATGTGATTTTTGGCGGATTTGCTCGCGTGCATGCCGGTTGATGTGTATTTTAGGCGGGGATGAATGATTTTTAATAGATTTTGAGACTCGATCGACGCGAAGGATTCACACGTATAGTCGCTTTTCGTTTCCATTTTGCAAAAATCGTTTGGAATTTAGACTCTTCGACTAGCTGAATTTTGTGCCTTTGACTATTTTGGTAAGGATACACGCACGTACATCCGATTTCGCGAGCATTTGATGAAAAGAGATTCGAGAGTAACGGTTCTTTCTTGACATCGTCGGCATTTCCAGACAATTTTCGACATGCAGAATGTGTATTTGAGAGTCGTATTCGAGTATTTCTTTTCTCTTGAATTTTTTCTGCGCCTTTTTGTTTCGTTATCGGTCAGATTTATGCTGAAGCGTTTTTTGAGGATTTCGACGCGAATGAGATTGTTGAGGATTCTGAGTAAAAGTTGGTGACCTAAATTTTGTTTAGTGGCGTTATTTCATTTATGTTCATAGCAAGTTTGAAGTGTATCTATAGGTTCGGGACTGAACCTATAGATGAAGGAAACCTTGAAGTTTCTTGTTCAAATTAAGATCAATACAAAAAATGGGAACGAAAGGATTGCTGGAAATATAATAACGCGGCAGCCAATCTGCGGAACTGTTACAGAATATGCATCAGAGGCGGAATCCACATCAAACAAGAGGAAATAAGTGGCATGGAATAAGGTGTGCGGGGAAATTCTCTCGATTTAAAACTTCAGTAGAATCTTTAAAATACACGTAATTCAGCAAGTTGTGAGGTTAACCCTTCAACGCATGTCTAAGAGAAGCGTGAAAATCCTGCTGGCGCCTGACATCTCTATGCTTCTAAATTTTTGTTCCTGAGTCGAAAGCAGAGGTATGATCTCGAGGCTCTTTTTCAATTAAAAAAAATACCGAGTCTCAGAATACAGCTGAGATTACTCAATGCTTTAAAAATGCACTAAATGGAGGGAAGGTAATCTTTGGGCTAATTGGACTTTATGCCATATAATACTTCCAGAACCAAAGATTTACTCTGACTCTCTGAGGCCCAACTTCTGCCGTTATACTGCAATACTGTCTAGACTACAGTCCACGGACTCCACAGAAATAACTGTGTGTGTAGACCTGATGTATATTACTAAAGTCATTTAGTGACATCTATGATTAAAACATGGAAACGCGCGAAAGGTATTCTTATCGATTGCAAGAGGACGAGGAGAGCTCCACTCACTGATTCGTAAGCTTGAAAAACCGTTCGTTTAATTAACATTTCCTGGATTTTCTTTTCCCTACCATGAACGACATTTTGAAATGAACCGGTAGAAAATAACAATTCCTTTGCAGGTTTTCTTCAATTTTACTGAAAATCGAATTATTTCTAACCCTTATGGTAATGGAACTGTAACTGGTTTCAGGGCTGGGTTATACTGGCCACATGCGCTGCATATAGGACGGGAAGGAAGGACGGACAGGGAGAATCACAGCCAGGTGCTAGCTGGAAGGGAAAGATACCACGATGCCTTCTGCCTTGGCTGCCAAAAATGGCACACAGCCCTGCCCCAATTACTGCATAAATTAATGTTTCTTTCATGTTAAAAAATCAAATCTTTCTGTCCAGGAAAATATCACAATAACTTCGTATGGCGTGTTCCTGTATGACACGAGTGAACAACAGGGCGTGCTATAGGCCCTATCACAGATCATGGGGAACTCAGCAGCCGGAGAGGCGATTTTTCTGGCAAGTTCAGTGGCCGCCGCACGACTGATTGAAATGGCATGGACGAGCAGAGTTAATAATGAAAGTCAGTTTGGGGTGCTCCGTGAACCTGGGATGGAGATGGCTTAGCCTGACATCCACGGTACATTCTCCATACCTGGACTATATAAAGCACCGCGAAGTCATTCAAGTGATACTTCTGCCACTGTTTTCCAGTGTGGCTGTATTTTCCTTGACACTTGTGCGTTGCTGTGCCCTGAGGTTATTTTCCTGTGCTTGTCTGACGTGCATGCAGTTGTGCTTTGAACAAATGAAAAGTGAATAACACTTATTTTAGGCATGATGAAGTGAAAGTTGATTTATTGCAACTATTAGCCCTGCTACTGGGATACATTTGTTAATTGGGACGTACAATGGTGACCATCATCTGCGCGCGTGCGTAATTGTTTGAGTAAAGTATTTTGAAGTGAATGGACAGAACTTGGATTCGGTGAGTCAATGCTGTAAAAACTTGAAGAAGGTTCTTTTTCCTTGTTGAAGTTCTCCCACAGAAACCATGTTTTGATCTCTCCTCTTTAAAGTGCCAGTGCTTTGCAATTTACATGTGAGAAAGAAATGTCAATGTTTATTCGTATTTTATTGTAGGAATTTATCTAGCTGAGATGGAGCATGTTTTGTCTGTATCATATGTGCATATATAGGCAAAAATGTTCCCCATGGGACTTAAAAAGTGTGCTGGAATTGCTGCAGCTGATGCATGCATTCAAATTTTTGTTTAGGTTGTATTAACTTTGAGAATTGAGGTTTTTCATTCAACATATACGTCAGGGCTTTTCAACCTATTTAAGGCATGGACCAATTTTCATCCACTTAACCATTGCACCACGGGTGACTTGAATGTGGAGGATTTAAATTTAGTTGAAAGAGGGAATGCCAGAGGAAGGAGTTGTCAGGAGATAATTGCATTTGTGGACGAGAGTACAAATTTCTTACGAGTTTTTGAGGTTTATATAAAGTATTTGAAGCGCACATCAAAAGTGTATGCAGTGCACAGTCAAAAATACACATTCTTGGGGTTTTTAAATCTTGAGAATTGTTTGTTCTCTGACCATCAATTTTTTGTAAAACATTAAGCAATGTTTGCTTAATCTTCCAAATATATCATTTATAATCTTAACTATGATATTTGGTGGCATGGCAACCTATTTTTGAAATGCACAACAACAAAATTATATTCCTGCATTTATGGACTGTCGGCCTGTTTTTTTATATTTCCTAGAAATAGCTTCCAAAATCATTGTGAGAGTGATAGTATTTTTATGCATGTAACTATGAAACTTTCAATTGAACCATTGAGACACTGGACTTGGCAATAAGAACCAGTTTTAGCTCATCAGAGGAATCCACAGCACTGATAAACTTGATTTATATGTATTCTAGGATGCTTTCAGTGAAAGTGAATATAGTTTTTCTGGCAACTTGCTCAGCCATGATAACTGTGACCTTTGCCCAGCATGATCAACCATTGGATCATTCATGGAATCCCCTGACAAACCAACAACACATTGACAATGCTGGACAGCATCAAGTTGATCAGAGACTAAATCAGGACCAAAAATGGCTGAATCCTGAGCTTCAAGAAAGGTTGGATGCATCTGCCAGAAATCCTCAGGATCCATCCCTCCTGGCACAACAAGGATGGGGCAACCATTTTGATGCAAGAAGAAATCATTTTTCTGGTGGAAATGTGTACCTCAACAGAGACTTCAAGCAATACTTGGGCCCCAATGGGGTTCCTGTTGGGGAATATGCCTATGATTATGTCAATCTTGACCATCAGGATCCAGTCCCAGAGCCCTTCAATGAGGACAATGAGCAGTGGGAGCCTTCTTCCATTCAAGGTGAGATTCTTACACTGTACTGTACTTCTAACTCTGAAGGTTAGTCCAGCAACAGTTTCTGTGTGATCATTTTGCAAAGGTATCTTCAATAATGGATCACTCTCATGCGCATTGAGACTATATAACATATATTCCTGCAGTTAGTCATTCTTATCCTTGTAAAATAATTTTATTTGATTTTTAAATTCTTGAGAATATCAATTTATGTATGGGGCTCTCACTCAGTGCCACAAAAAGAGCTCATAATTTCTGAAAGGATAAAAATGAGAAACGCAGTAAGAAAATGAGCATGAGTTTTTTTTATTATCATGTGAGAGCTTTTAAATCTTCGTACCTGCTTGAACAGAGTATCAAATGTGTCTGGTAACTTGGGTGTATTGTGGATTTAAACGTCTTTTCCTTGTCAGTAATGTTCTGCATGTATGTGTGGATGGGCTTTGTACAACTTGGGATTGCTCAATTATCTAGTATACTGCAGACAGAAAATATTTGATGTACTCTTTAAAATGTATTTATGAGTTCTTCCAAAACCATGCCATGCTTGAAATTTGAAGATTATAAGAACATTTTAAATTCAAAAATGTGATACAAAAACAGTCTGCTGGATCTGAGCTCTATAGGCAAAGCCAGAATGAAACACAGTAGTAACATTTTATACTGACACAATGTCCATTATGCAACTCATGTTATAAAATGCACACAGGTCAGTATATGCAATGGAAAAAAGTAAAAAATGGAATAATTGACAAGATAGGCAAATGGCAATCAGTGCAATGAGCTGACATGGCATGTGGTGAACAGTTATGTAGGCAGATTATGTACCAGGGTATGGAATTGGTAATAAAAAGGGCAATGGCACAAGCTGTGCTTGTTAGATTTGGAAGACAAATGTCTTTTGCTGATGACAGCTAGAAGCTCAAGCAGGTCAGGTGTGCACTTATATATGCTGCTGGCAGACTACATAGCCTGCCTTTCATGCATGGTCAGCACATACTGCCATTATGGAGGTTATGTACACTCAAGAACACCCATCTGAGTGTCAGGTGTGTGGCTGGTGGGGCAACCTCTGTTTGGGCCCTGCCAGTGTGGCTACTCTCCCTCTCAAAAAAGGCTCCACATTTTTTTTTTTTTGTGAGGAGGTCTTGGTAGCACGCTCGGCACTGATGGGCATTCCAGACACAGTGTTGCCAGCAGTTAGTTGTTGGATAAGCCAGTACCAAAGAGACCCTGGATCTTGATGGTGACTGCTGGCAGGCCATCCAGGGGGAGTTGCTGGCTATTGTCATTGATATATTCTGGGTCTGGGGTAGGTGGCTGGATAGGAATTGTTCCTGCCATAGGTNAAGTGTGCTGGAATTGCTGCAGCTGATGCATGCATTCAAATTTTTGTTTAGGTTGTATTAACTTTGAGAATTGAGGTTTTTCATTCAACATATACGTCAGGGCTTTTCAACCTATTTAAGGCATGGACCAATTTTCATCCACTTAACCATTGCACCACGGGTGACTTGAATGTGGAGGATTTAAATTTAGTTGAAAGAGGGAATGCCAGAGGAAGGAGTTGTCAGGAGATAATTGCATTTGTGGACGAGAGTACAAATTTCTTACGAGTTTTTGAGGTTTATATAAAGTATTTGAAGCGCACATCAAAAGTGTATGCAGTGCACAGTCAAAAATACACATTCTTGGGGTTTTTAAATCTTGAGAATTGTTTGTTCTCTGACCATCAATTTTTTGTAAAACATTAAGCAATATTTGCTTAATCTTCCAAATATATCATTTATAATCTTAACTATGATATTTGGTGGCATGGCAACCTATTTTTGAAATGCGCACCAAGAAAATTATATTCCTGCATTTATGGACTGTCAGAAAATCCTAGATTTCCAATTATTTGTGGCCTGTTTTTTATATTTCCCAGAAATAGCTTCCAAAATCATTGTGAGAGGGATAGTATTTTATGCATTTAACTATGAAACTTTCAATTGAACCACTGGACTTGGCAATAATAAGAACCAGTTTTAGCTCATCACAGGAATCCACAGCACTGATAAAGTTTATTTATATGTATTCTAGGATGCTTTCAGTGAAAGTGAATATAGTTTTTCTGGCAACTTGCTCAGCCATGATAACTGTGACCTTTGCCCAGCATGATCAACCATTGGATCATTCATGGAATCCCCTGACAAACCAACAACGCATTGACAATGTTGGACAGCATCAAGTTGATCAAATACTAAATCAGGACCAAAAATGGCTGAATCCTGAGCTTCAAGAAAGGTTGGATGCATCTGCCAGAAATCCTCAGTATCCATCCCTCCTGGCACAACAAGGATGGGGCAACCATTTTGATGCAAGAAGGAATCATTTTTCTGGTGGAAATGTGTACCTCAACAGAGACTTCAAGCAATACTTGGGCCCCAATGGGGTTCCTGTTGGGGAATTTGCCTATGATTATGTCAATCTTGACCATCAGGATCCAGTCCCAGAGCCCTTCAATGAGGACAATGAGCAGTGGGAGCCTTCTTCCATTCAAGGTGAGATTCTTACACTGTACAGTATTGTACTTCTAACTCTGAGGGTTAGTCCAGCAACAGTTTCTGTGTGATCATTTTGCAAAGGTATCTTCAAAAATGGATCACTCTCATGCGCATTGAGACTATATAACATATATTCCTGCAGTTAGTCATTCTTATCCTTGTAAATAATTTTATTTGATTTTGAAATTCTTGAGAATATCAATTTATGTATGGGGCTCTTATTCAGTGCCACAAAAAGAGCTCATAATTTCTGAAAGGATAAAAATGAGAAACGCAGTAAGAAAATGAGCATGAGTTTTTTTATTATCATGTGAGAGCTTTTAAATCTTCGTACCTGCTTGAACAGAGTATCAAATGTGTCTGGTAACTTGGGTGTATTGTGGATTTAAACGTCTTTTCCTTGTCAGTAATGTTCTGCATGTATGTGTGGATGGGCTTTGTACAACTTGGGATTGCTCAATTATCTAGTATACTGCAGACAGAAAATATTTGATGTACTCTTTAAAATGTATTTATGAGTTCTTCCAAAACCATGCCATGCTTGAAATTTGAAGATTATAAGAAAATTTTAACTTAAAAAATATGATACAAAAACAGTCTGCTGGATCTGAGCTCTATAGGCAAAGCCAGAATGAAACACAGTAGTAACATTTTATACTGACACAATGTCCATTATGCAACTCATGTTACAAAATGCACACAGGTCAGTATATGCAATGGAAAAAAGTAAAATATGGAATAATTGACAAGATAGGCAAATGGCAATCAGTGCAATGAGCTGACATGGCATGTGGTGAACAGTTATGTAGGCAGATTATGTACCAGGGTATGGAATTGGTCATAAAAATTGCAATGGCACAAGCTGTGCTTGTTAGATTTGGAAGACAAATGTCTTTTGCTGATGACAGCTAGAAGTTAAATGGTCTCAAGCAGGTCAGGTGTGCACCTATGTATGCTGCTGGCAGACTACATAGCCTGCCTTTCATGCATGGTCAGCACATGTGGCGCACAGGCCACAAAGAATGTAAATTGGGTCGGAAAATGAGAAAAGGCAAAAACGAATGACGTAAAATGAAACACAAACGCCGCCGGGGAACACGGCAGGGAGCTCTTTGGTAAGAGCTCCAAAAGGCAAAAGTGAAAAATATATTTCGTAATCACAAGTTTGTAAAATAGATGTTTACTGCTCGCGAAGCAAACTGAGACTGTGTAGAAATAGGAAAAGAGAAAATGGAGGTTAAATAAAACTGGTCCACGTTGGAATTCCCCACTGGAATTCCAACGTGGATCTTGTACTTTTGCGAGGCTGGCGACCTCTGTCCCCCACAATAATGGCAGCACATACTGCCATTATGGAGGTTACGTACACTCAAGAACACCCATCTGAGTGTCAGGTGTGTGGCTGGTGGGGCAACCTCTGTTTGGGCCCTGCCAGTGTGGCTACTCTCCCTCTCAAAAAAGGCTCCACATTTTTTTTTGTGAGGAGGTGTTGGTAGCACGCTCAGCACTGATGGGCATTCCAGACACAGTGTTGCCAGCAGTTAGTTGTTGGATAAGCCAGTACCAAAGAGACCCTGGATCTTGATGGTGACTGCTGGCAGGCCATCCAGGGGGAGTTGCTGGCTATTGTCATTGATATATTCTGGGTCTGGGGTAGGTGGCTGGATAGGAATTGTTCCTGCCATAGGTAATGGGCTTGGTGCCTGGTTAGATTCATTGCAGAGACTCATCATTATTGGTTGTGTCAGCTATAAAATAATGAGTGAATGTTTCTGGGTAACATTAAACATTTTTGGTTTTGTAATTTTGCAGAATTGGATGGCAAAGGAAGATCTGAAGTCATATCCCATGGTTGGTCACATCTCCCTTATGTCCCTGACAGTGCCAGTATGAACAATGGCGGGTCTTTGACAATTTTGATGACAGGCATTTTTGCTTGCCATTACTTTTTTATTTGAATAAATGAGAGCAAGCTTCAGTCAACATAATCATGCACAACTTACTTGAGCTTACTTGTTTCAGTGTGTCATCAGCATTGATTTGAACACACCTTTTTCAGTCTTATGCAATTATCCCTTCAAGGTTTTTGTATCAGTTTTGAAATTGGATTATGTGTTTCCCATGTCAAACAACAAATTTTGTTGACAACTTTTGATTTATTTTCTTTTTCTATAATTTTACATTTTATTTGCTTTCTAAATATAGTCTTCTAGCCATGCCAAGGCAAAATTTCCCAGATGAAAATATGTTTGGAAAGAAGCATTTGTGTTTATTGCATGATCAAACTTTTGTTTATTTTTGAACTTTTGTGTGCTTTCTGGAATTTTTGAGCCATAACCTGTGTCTTCTGGATTGAAGAAATAATTTTTTCAAAAGGATCTGTTATGTCCATGATGGATGACCCCATAATTTTGGATTGGTTGAATATTTGTGATAATGCTGATAATTCTGTATATGATCAGGGTTTTGTCAATGTATGTTCAGGTAGAACTTCTGAAACCATGAAATTCTTAGGAAACAAAAGGGATATTTGGAAATGGTTGCAAATGCTGCTTTGGAATAATGTAGTTAGTCATGAATTCATGATTCCTTTCTGCCTTTCTATGTTTTTGTCTGGGTGCTTTGTCTCTGTTACCATTTTGGACTTTGCATTGGAGTGATCAAGTCTGGAGTCCTCTTCTGAACCATTTTGTGGAAATCATGCTTATTTGTGTTGCATAGAAAATAAATGAACAAATGAAAAAAATGTTTGAAAAATAAATTGTGAACCATTGGTTTTCTTCAGGTAGCACCAAATGACGCCAGGAATTGCATTTCTCTTCAGTCATCTTGTGTGTTTCAATTTTGCCAGATGATGCGGATCCCAGCGACAAGGTGACCAGTTCTTTGCAATAATGACAATGCACACAATAAGCAAGATTTTTGTGTTTTTTCAGTATCTGACACTTGAACTTAAAAAGCAGAATTAGAATGAGTATTAACCTAGTTACTGTGACGATAGATTCATTCCCTTGAGTTTTTCAAAAGCCCCTAATACTTTGTGCTGTTCAAATATCCACCTCTACTTTGTAATCGCAAGCCAGGGACAAAAATAATGCAAGAATACTGAATCCATGACAGATTTGTCAAATGTTTTGAGAGAATTTGCTATTAATGTTTCATCATCATGACCGAGAATCCTTCCTTCAACATTTGCTCCCAAAGATGCCTTCTATATATCAGTTTTTTTTTTCTAAAACCTTGCTGCCTCAACCAAGGCCTTCAAGCAAACTGCTTCAAAACAAAAGGCATTTGAACCACATCTATCTATAAAACCATTGATAGTACTTCTGTTTCTTGTCCTTGCTCAAATGAAATTATGAAATAAAGTTCAAAATAAATACTAAGATTCAAGTTTCTTGTTTTCAGGGTCAGAAAGTGTTGTGTGTAGTGAGATTGTGCTGTTTTGTCAACTAATCTGCTATCCACAAAATAGGCAACTGTTGACATTGATCAGCTTTCCAGATGATTGCAACCTGTTTTGCATCCAATGGAGGAAATTGCAGTGGGAGAATCAATGCGCAAGCACACTGCCACAGTGATTTGAAAGATGATTGCCTGAGTGTGATCAGCTTCTTTTCTGTCTGTTTTCCAGAGTTGCAAAGCCCATATTGTAGTTTTCAAGTGATGTCAGTGATGTGGGTCCTGAAGGTTGAGGGCACATTTGCATGAGAATCAGAGAGTGATTACCTGAAAAAAAATTATTGAGTGTTGCCAATCATTGATATGGGAATCTTCAGGGTGTTGATCTATCTTCGCTTTCGCTTCCCATAGCATGTGACTGCATTGAAGTAACACTTCCTGGACTTGGTCCAAGCTGCACCAGTCTGTAATGTAAAAATATACTGCATTTTTTTTCATTTCTTCATTTTTGGCACTTATGGCATTTGATCAGACTGACTTGTGCATTGCCCAACTGAAAGCATAAGCTCTGATCAGTAAACATCTGAACATCAGGAAAAACTGAGCATTGGACAGGTACCAAAGGGTCTTGAAAAATTATACCACTCATAAACTTTGTCGTAATAAGAAGGTGATCACATTTTGTTGCTCCATTCCTTTTTTGTACACTACTCAAACCTCTCCAAGTCCATCTTCAAGGGACCAGCAAAAAATTATAGTTAGAGAAACAAGCATTGCATTTGTGTTGGGGGGAAATAAAGAGGAATAACAATGATTTTAATAGGTACCAGTCTATGCCTTAAATTTTGTTTTGGATGAGTTTACAGAATGCTGATGTTGTAGGCAAGGGTTCATTCGTTCAACTAGTCTTTAACTTCCTTTCAAAGCACATGGAGTTACATTTTTATTGCCTTTCTCTTCCCTGTGTCAATCAAAAAATATCCAAAAGGCCTCCAGAAAATTCCAGGTAGGGAGGATTTTAATGCACTGTTGGAAATGCAGACAGGGACTTGAACAAAATTGACACAGGGAAGTGCAATATTGGACATAGAGAGGTTCAACTGCATTGTTCGACTTAATTTAATTCCTAATGCAGTGATAAAGGATGGATAATGTGCCACGTCAGGCATGAAGTTTTTGAAGGAATAATTCGAAAGTCTGGTTTCTGTGGTAAAGTTTTCAGTTCTGCTCAGATTTCCGACTAGCAATTATCCCTCATGTTCATTGGACTCTGGTGATTTTGGTACTGTACTACTTATTGAGAATCCTGGGATTGGTTGCTTGCCTGTTGCTGGATTCCTGGCGCATTCTTCTGTCTGGTAACGAGCTCCATGTCGGCTGCTTTGGGCATTGAGTTCCCGTTGATGGCATTGTGCAATGCAACCATGAGTTTGTCCATGAATAGTGCTGTTCGCTTCGGCATCACAATCTACGCAGGAAAGAGACAGTATATGATCATATCCTGGTATGAAGCATCAGCAATGGGTGGAGACCAGGGTTAATTCATAAGTTCTTTCATTTTTTCTTCTTCTGGAGATTTTTTGGATGCACAAAAGCAATTTTTACCAATTATCCCCTGC